CACTATATGGTATATGTATCACTATATTGTATATGTATCACTATATGGTATATGTATCACTATATGGTATATGTATCACTATATGGTATATGTATCACTATATGGTATATGTATCGCTATATGGTATATGTATCACTATATGGTATATGTATCACTATATGGTATATGTATCACTATATGGCATATGTATTACAGTATAGTATATGTATATTGTTCGGTTTGCTGATTAAACGGCTTCTGAAGCCAAATGTTGCCTGGATCCGTGTTGCTATTTTCTGTGGCTATCATAGTCAGGTATAGCGGAAAGTTATTGGTAATCAAAGAAGCGACGTATCAGCCCTGTGACAGTGAACATGGCCTTATAAATCCATGCCCAAAAGAGAAACAACTCTTCCCGAATTTCAAGGTTTTGGGCATGTTTTGCAGGTGGAGATCTGAGTTAGCGTTTATCCAGTATTTGGCGAAAGGGGTCGTATTCTAATTAAATTATTTAATGAAAATAATTGTTGAATTACCATGGGAATGGCGCTCGCGTCGCTGATCGCCGTTGTCAGGCAAGAGAATATTCTTCGGCCGATCTTCTGCACTTAAAATGGGCATGGGCGGGTCCACGAGACATATGCATATGGTATCCGATCTAATAATTTCACTTTGGTCGCAGCATCCATACACAATTCTCCAACTACGCTGGCTAATGTACATATACCGATAGGTACTAGTTTGACATGATAAATGTCTATCACACAGCCTTTCTCACTACTCTCCTGACATGCCTTGGTCTGGGTAAAAGCATCCTATCTCGAATGTCCTCGAAACAAAATTAATGATCCGGGCGTGTTCAAGCGACTGCTTACGACAGTTCCTTGTGTTCACACATCCTGGCCGTCGCAACACATACGCCTATATCCACATTTAACTATTTGGGGACACGCAAACGTTCGCTATTCCAGACTGATGATCATGAGAGCACCTGTGTTTCTTTGATAGAAATTTCTTATATATACCCACCTCTTTCCTCTCTTCCTCTCCCGTATCTCTTTCTCTCTCTCTCTCTCTCTCTCTCTCGTCGCTCGTCTCTATCTCTCTCTCTCTCCCCTCTCTCTCCCTGCTCTCTCTCTCTCCTCTCTCGGGTGGCGTCCTCGTCGCTCTCATCTTTCTCTGCTATCTCTGCTCCCTCTCCCTCTCTTTCTCGTGTCTATCCTCTCTCTCTCTCCTCCTCCTTTTCTCTTCTCTCTCCCGCCTCGACTCTCTCCTCCGTCGGGCTCCTCTCATCTCCTCCCCCCACTCCCGTCCCCCCACACATCCCCCCACTACCTTCTCTCTCTCTCTCTCTCTCTCATCTTCTCTCCGTCTCTCTCTTCTCTTTTTTCTCTGCTCTCTCTCTCTCTTCTCTCTCTCCTCTCTCGCTCTCTTCTCTCTCTCCCTCACTCCTTCTCACACTCTCTCTTTCTTTCTTTCTCTCATCGTCTCTCTTTCTCTCTCTCTCTCTCTCGTCTCCCTCTCTCGTCTGTCTCTCTCTCTGCGCTTGCCTCTATAATACTATACTAATATATTATCACTATATATATTTTATTTATTTATTTATTTATATAGGCGCTATATATAACAGAATTATGGCATATATATTATATATGCAGCATAAGTCTTCACTCGCAGCGCAAGGCTCCGTCGAGTGGGTTCTCATGTGATACCTCGTCAGCGCATCTTGCTGGCTGTCACGTCTCGCGGCGCGGCACGTACCGCTCGTATCTCGCATCTCGCGATCCGGATCAAGCAGAGTCAAACACGCTGCGTGCTGTGACCGTCGCTCCGTTACTATGCGACGCGCAGCGTCGCATGCTCTCACGCGAGGTGACCTTGCCATTAGGCCAAAACAAAATATAGGTGTGGTTACGGTTTCCGCGACCGAGCCCTATTATATCCCAGGAGGACGCCTAAACATTTAAATTGTCATTTTCTTTAAAGTAAAAAAATAAAAAATAAATAATAAAATATTTATTGACAGTTCCTGCTTCAAAAGCATAGATATCATATAACAACGTTGTTATATGATATCTATGTTCAAAAGGCACAACGCACATCCTTCGACAATTGGTTCGTAAAATAAATATATTTCAAGAAAATAAAATGTTTTCCGCTAGCGCTAACCCTAACCGCTGTATTTTTCGGCATGTAACCGTAAAGGCGCGCCCACTGGCGTAGCTAAGGGGGGGGCACAAGGGGGCCATGGCCCCGCCTGTTGATTGGCAAAACAAAAGCAGAAAGCAAAAACAGTTTCCTTGGCCTCTCACGGAAGCGTCTTCACAGGACTCGGCCACAATTCCTGTTACTTCTGCATCTGCTGAACGAACAATTCTTCTAGAAATGAGCATTGTCAAGTCAAACTTCGTCTACAATGACCCAGCCACGATTCTCTGCTCTCATTCTGCCTTTTTGTTGATAAGCAGGAGTTAGTGAATGACATTATGTCAACGAAATCCTCAAAATGTTCTTGTGGCAAAAATGCGAACGAGAAGACTGAGCCTTTGGATTTTGAGATTTCTGCAGGCAGACACAACAACATGAC